CTATATTATAAAGTAATATAAAAATATTCAGAATAATTGCTGAACATTAAAAGTGTTATTCTAATTTTAAAATTAGATAAGTGTCAAGTATGCACTTATTAGTATTTATAGTATTTAATTAAATATCAGGTGTATATTTCATTTAAGATTAGATTTCTGCCTAATGAAGTTAAATATCCTTGGGCAGTAGTAATAAAGTGGGTAGTATTGAATACCATAGACGTGTTTACGGAAAGCAAGACTTGAATCTTTATTTTAGATTAATATTTATAAAAAAATGTATATACATCAATTTATAGGTACCTACTTCCGCACTGACAGGAAAATTGGAAAATTCAATAAATGCTTTTTTAAACTGATTAATAGCTGTCCTTAGCTTTCTCTTTTATTATTTTTTATGCAGTCGGTTTTAAATAGAGTGTAAGATATGGCAGTATCAATAATAATATATAAATAATAATAATGTACATGGTATAAATTACTATCACCATTTATAGGATTTTTGCGCTCATACTAAATTTTATGTTATTAATGACCACTAACCTGAATAATAATTTATTTATAAACACAAATAGGTACATTTTTTTTAAAATTAAATATATAAATATAAAAAGAAAATACTAAAAAAATCTTATTCAGAATGCGTATTATATTTCTTTAATGTATTTAGAACAGTATTTAAATACAAAAAAAAAGTATTAAAATACTTATCAAAATATATATATATATATATATATGTATGTGTATATACATTGATAATATAAACATTTATCAGATAATGTGGTAAATAAATACAAATATCTAATTTGAGTAATGAACAATGTTAGAAATTTGAAAATGTAAAATTGTATATATACTGAGTGTTCACGTTAAGAGGTATCACTAAATATTTCAGTTGGATGAGTCTGTATTAAAACGGGGTTTTTAGGGGAATGAAAGGGAGTACAAAATTATACAATTGCAGACAAATTTAAAATTTTTGAGTCGAATGGTACTTGCATTGTTACTATGCAAAATAAAAATAACTTTTTCTTAAATGGCAAACCCATTTTTTTCAACATATTCGGGCAGAGTATATTTTTTAAAACAATTTTAATTTATTACAAAATTTGTAAAGTTGTAATATGTTCAACTTAATATTTGAAAACCAAAATAATATTTCTGATATTATTGAATACTTGTTTGTAGGCAGAAAATACACAAATAAAGACCTTGGCGACATTTATGGACTAATGAAATAATGAAAATGAAAAACAAAAAAAATGAAATAAATTTACAAATATTGGTATAATGAATAAATAAAACCATATATTTTAGAACAATGCAAATTCATATTAGTCTAGAGACACTAACTTTCAGACAGTCTGGGTTATAAATGTGTAGTATTGGTTAATCGGTGGAAAATTTTTAGGTCCTTATTTTTATAACTGGTAGAAGATATCCAGATTTTCTTGTAAATCAATTTCAATTATTGTTAGAAAACGATACATAAAATCACGCGAGAAAATATGTAGATACATATTTACAAGATACACCAGCAGAAAATACTATCATTGTTCGACAATATTTAATTTAAATTAGAAATATTTTAAATCAGAAATATTATTTAAATTTTCAAAAATTTAATTGAACATAATTAAAATTTCGTCAAAACCAGAATATATCGTCGAAAATTTACCAATTTTCTAATTAGAAAATACATTTTTTTACAAAAACGATTTAAAAAAAAGTTGTATTGTGCATAGTGTTAAAAAATTCATCAATTAAAAATTTTAAATTTGTCTGAAATTGTATATTTTGTTACTCCCTTTTGTTTCCCGAAAACACCATTTCAATACAAGGTCATCCAATTGAAATAATTAGTGATACCTCTTAGCATAAACACACTGTATGTATCATCGGTAGATCTAAGGATAGGACTCAGAGCAACCTTTACCATCCTCACTCATTCAAAGTATACTGGAATTACAATCTTGAACTTCATTGAAAATTGTTTGGGGGGAAAGTTAGAATTATGTGTATGGTATTAAAATAATAATTAGCATTTTGGTTTACAAATAATAAATAATGTAGGAAGTATGGTAATGAATGTCAATATTAATATGATTTTTGAGAAATATTCATTTTAGTATACTCTATAGATTTGATTTATTAAATTAATGCTGATTATTTAAAATTAGTGTGCACATTAAATGTTTAATTTAAAATAAAAATGGTAATTCAGAAATAAAAACTAAGATTTGTAATGATTTAAGATAAAATAAAATGTGATGTTTGTGTTTTAAGTTGATAAAATGAAAAAAAGTATTAAGGACCCAATAAACAGAAATGGAAATAGAAAGGTGAAGGAATCAGTAAAGATAATAAATTAAAAAATCAAACCCAGTATATTAAATTTATATAGATTTTTATTTTTATTAATTTTGTTTTTCATGTACAAATATAATAAAACCATCTCAACCAAAAATCACATTTTTGTACAAAAAATTTACTTAGACATACAATAGAATAAAATGTTAACAAAACTCAATATTGCACTACGCCATATACACAACTAACAAAACACACAAATCAGTAAATTAGAGTGCATAATTTGTGTACTAAATAACTGTATTAATCCCATTTAGATATAAAAATATTTAAGTTGCAATTAATACATACTAAATTAATAGAAGTAAATGTGTCATATTATGTTATATTTACTTTAAAAAACATAATTGTTGACCAAGTTAAGATAAACAGTTTCTCTTAATTACTTTTTATATTTTGATATAAACAAAAAAAAGACATTGTCCAATTCTAATTAGAAAAAAAATAGCGAACCATACAAGTATTATTTAATTTGTTCTGAAATCATTTTAAAGTAAATCAAGCATAAAATTACATAATTATTCAATTATTTTTGGATTCAAATAACTATCTTAAATTTTAAAATAAAATAAATTTTGATTTTCATAGTTACAAACATGGTTTGACTAGCACATAAAAAAATCAATTAAATATAAACAAAGTGTTTTAGACTAGAGGATTTTGAACATTTAAAAATGAGAAAACTAACAGCAGAAATATAATGAAAATAGCATTTATATCCATATTTAAGATTTATATACGAATATCATAAGTATTAATAAAATCTTTTAAATAATTTTCTTTAAAATTAATGAGGCGACTAAGGATATAGCTAAACTTCAAAAATTTCACAAATTATTGTTTTATAAGTTATGGCAAGTAATCTGAATTAATTACGCAAATTGCTGTATTCTATAAATATTTATAAGTTCATAGAATATCATAAGTCATGTATTAGAATTATAACAGCAATTATTAGAATTTTATCATTATTGACACAGATGTATTTTGAACATAAATAATTTTCAAGCATATATACTATCTTAGCATTATTTTTTTTTAACAAGACATCACTTCAATAAATTTGCCAAAATATTGAGGAAAAAATTTAGTCAATTTAATAGACATACTCGTACTATTATATTATAAGTAATGCATAGTAAAATAATTAGCTAAAAAAAAAAAAAAAATACAATACACAATTTTGCAGTTTTAATTTTTAAATACAATGTTAACAAGTTGATAGGAACAATGAAAAAATAAATATAATTTATAAGCGTTACACGGTGATTAGTAAAAATTAAATACTCTCAAAATAAATTTTTAAATTTTGTACGCAAATAAGTCAAATATATTATAATTACACAGAAAAATAATAATATTACAAAGGGTTATGTTCCTAATAAAGGTGTATTATAGGTGTTAAGTAAAAATAAGGTATAACTACCCTATGTCTAAGTGTAAACTAATCTATGAATATAATTTGATTAAGTAATTTTTTATTCGCTATTTACTTAATAGAATGCTGGTACACATAATTAGATGTTCTGAGTGATAATTATTATGTCTATGTATATTATAGGAATGTTAAAATAATTAAGGTTCTATCATTCTACACTAAAACATTTTAAATCATTAAAACTGTATGAATTTATCATAAATATAATTAACTGTAAAAAGGTATAGTATTTATTTTCGTATAAAAATATACTATAAGACACATTTATTTGGACCAAAATTGGTAATTTTAGATAAATGTTATTTTAATAGAAACATAAATTACAAAATATATGTCAAAAAACAAAAATATTTTAAAGTAATTAATCACCTACATAATACATATATATATATATTTTATATTTCAATCTATAAATAAACAAAAATAAGGAACTAATGACAAAATTTAAAAAGTAGGCCAATTTATGAATATTATTTAACTGCTTTCTATAAAATTATGTTCAGTCATTCTTCTAAAATATAATTTATTTATTCTTCACATGCTCTAATTAATATTTGTTGCACTAAATATATTATGAATACTACAATATATAGTATTTTTTTTTATACACAAAGAGTTTTGTAAAACATCATTGACTTATAAATTTCAATATTTTTCATTAGAAATTATAAATGTTGGCAAAGAAAAAAAAATATGTGAATGAATAAGGAAATTTTCAATTTTTAGTTCATACAAAATTATATACAAATAATCAACAAATAAGAATAAAATATATGGAATAGGGAAAAATTAAAATATCACAACCTGACCATGTGTAATTCTTACAATAATGACTCTAAATTCTAATTTTATTTTACATACATATCAATATAAAACTATGTTTTAATTTTATTGTCTTCTAATTATCTATTGTCTATTTATCATTATTAATGAACATTATATGCATGTTATTAAGTTTACTATAATTTTTTTTTAATAGAGCAGTGAAATATCCTTAGAAATAGCAGTTAAAATTTAACTATACTTAGTTGCCAAGAAAATTAAATTATTATAGTTACACAATTTTAATAGATAAAATTAGTACTAAGTATTAAATTTGAATACAAGAGATAAATATTTTTCAAATTACTATATGTTTAATAAAATAATTTAGGATGTTAAATGGTTTAGGACAAAATATAATTTCTGACTGCTAAGGAATTATCTTTTTAAATCTTAAAGCTACCTACTTTTTTCTTAAAAATGTATACTAAAATAATATACACAATAGTCAATTGAATAGAGGAACAAAACCTTTGATAAAAAAAAAAATATATATATATATATATATGTATGGAACTAAATAAATAAATGAAAAAAAATAAAAGTACTTATATGCTTTGGTCTGGTTGGTACGAGACTAGGAGTCAATTAAAAATATTTACTTTTCACATAAAATGATGAGATTATACATCTAGTCTACCTAGGCTACTTTGTTTCATTTTAATTTTGGAACATATAGTTATAGATCATACTTTTTTATTTTTATTCAGTCATTTAACATGCTGCATTTTGTGTTTTAGTCATGTCTGGATCTCCACTAGTTGCTGATGATTGCATATTGCTTGTCCCAGCTCCTTCTGGATTAGAAACATATATTATTAAATCTAGATTAATTTAAATCGTTAATTAATTAATCTAATGGTACCTATAATTTATCCTTAAGTATAAAATTGGATTCATTGGTTTATTATTAACATATTTTAGATGGTAGATAAACTTTACGTTATTTAATAGAATTAGTTAAACAGTAATAAAATCTATAACAAAAGTTCTATACTACTATTATATTTTCTTGATACAAATTAAATTCATCATTTCATAGGTAAAATATTTATTATACATTTTGATAAAACCATAGTGTAAGTGTCAATGTTTTCAAAAGCATTTAATGTTATCAGTATTTGTGAAATAATAATAAAATAATAATAATTTAATAAACATATTATTTTTGAATCATGCATATACTTTCATACATTTTCTATTTTAAGATTTTTCATCAATGAATAAGATAATTTTGATAGCATGAATAACGGAATGTACTCTGTAAAATGAAAATATCTAAACAATAATAAGTACATACTAATAAATGAAGCCCTGTTTTCTTTAAAAGAAAAAAATAATATTAAAGAATGCAAATTATTTTACCATTTGTTGTAAGAGCTTGTAACCGATCAGGTAAGTCAGCCGTGGACGTCAATTTATGTTCACCAAGTATATCTGGTAATGCATTTCGCCTGCCAGTTCGCCCAGTAGTTAAAAAATCTGGGCTAATATCTACATATTGTACTTGACTAACATCTTTATCTTGATTACTTGTCATTTCTGCAGCTACCATTCTCAATGCTAAACAAAAAAAATACAATTCAATTAACACATAATATAACTTGACATTTTAACATAAATTTATATTTTAGTTCATAAACCAGATAATTCTAACAATTATAAAAACATTTATTGTTAAAATAAAATTCAACTTATGTTTAGATACCATTGTAATACGTAAATATTTTCAAGCTTTTAAAACTTCTAAACATTTATCAAATATTATTACTTCATATATCATACATGTAAAATACTTAGTATGAAAAATAATTAAATTTTCATCTGTACACCATAATAAATACTTTCAAATGTATTAAGCATGAACAATTCAGTTATACCTACAGTATTAAATGCATAGACATACTCGATAAGACAATTAAATATAAAATTCAGACGAAGTCTCATGGGGATATTTGTTTAATTTTATGGTAAACGAAAACAGAATTCAGAGATACCTGTTATTGCTTAATGTAAAATCAAAACATGGCTTTGGAAACAGAGTTGTAATACAAGATGTCCAAGAAAATTTTGAATGGTAAAACAATTTACATCATAGTACTCATGCTGAAAAATTGAAGTGGAACACACAAAACATTAGATCAAATTGACAATCACAATATAGATACGAGGAGGAGCTCAAGCAAAAAATGTAAGAGCTATGAAGAAATTCACCTGTTTTATTAAATACATTTTTCCGTTGTTTACGGAGTGTAATCGATTTGTTGCACAAGCCTTGGTCGGCTGACTCGGACGTCATAATATTATCCTGTAAGTTAGTCGACAATCAACACAAAACAACGGACGACGATCGAGCACTACCTATCGAACAGGCGGACTGCAGACTGTAGCCGAATGTATATTGCACATTGTGCGGACTGCTGGTAGTTGTTCAACGACCGTTTATCTCTGCACTTGGGTAGGCGCGGCGCAACGTGTGTATGTGTGTGTATTATTGTAGGCGCAGAGGTTAAAAGGCGAAACAGATAATATAATACTACAAACACACACACTCATATACATACACAATGGAGGTAAGAAAGAATGGTATTGTGTTGATGGGGGGGAGGAGATCGGAGGAAAAAAAATGTGTGGAAAAATGTATTATACAAATAAAAAACAAAACGACGGCATTAACGGTGGTGGTAGTGGCGACGGCTGCGGTGGAGACGACGGCGGCGACGAAATAATAACAATCAATGGGCACCACCGGCCCGACGCGAGCAACTACAGTTGTACTGCGATGTACATCGGACGACGGACACGACTGCTTAGCGCTTGCCGAGTCGTATCGAAAGTGCGCAACGTGCCCAAAAACGGAACGGCGGCGGCGTTGTTCTATTATAATTCATAATGTCATTACACAAATCGTTTAATTTTAATAACCATCACGAACGGTACAACGGCACGAGGAGACACACAGATAGATATATGTTTGTTTGTCCGTGGTGCGCGTGTGAACGTCTATACGTGAGCGACGCGTGTATTACAATAATGATTTTAATAACATATTAACGATATTATTAAACGCGGAAAAAAAAAAAAAACTGAAAAAAAAAAAAAACGAGTGCAGCTGCGTACTCACCGCTAACATCGCCGCCGTGCGTCGTATGTACATACGTGCGTCAACGCGTTGTCTTAACGGCGACGCATTTTTTTTTTTTCTCCTGACCGCGTTCGCGTCTCCGCCGTTTGCCGTCCCGTGTGTGTGACTCGTCGTCGAGGCTGTCGGCCGCCGCTGTCCGGCGTTCTCCTCGCGATAACCGACACGTCGTTGTTATCAGACACGGACAGATAATGTCGTAAACGCGCCCGACCGCCGACACTGTTACCGACCGCTGAACGCCGTGCACGAGTTCACTGACGCCGTACCGTTTCGATTTGTTGTTGTTTGAGTTTTTTTTTTTCCTTCCCACACGCGCTCTCTCTCTCTCACTCGCTCACCGTTCATCCCCGTTATCCCCGTCAACGGCACGGCTGACTCATCGCGACGCATGCTGTTATCACACTTCACCCGCCCCCCACGACCCTGCGTATCAACACCGCGATAATTAACCGTAAACAAAAATGAAGTAACGCCACAGCCGAAGAACAACGAACCGTATTGCACGCACAGATGTACAAAACAATTCGATATTATCGTTGAAGCGAAGCGAAGCCGTATGCGAAGCTAGCGATGTTTACATTATTAACTTTATCACAGATAATATTCGTATCGTAATCATTAAAAATCACGAACGTTTCAACATTTCGTGAAATTGTGAAACCGTCATTTCCAGTACACGTAATATCCGATGGTGTGAATTTTAAATATTTAATCTACTTTGAAACCTAACAGCCCTAATTCTAATGCCGGTTATATGAATACGATAAATATCCATGTATTACAAAACATTGTTTTAAAGTTTAATAATACAAATGCTATATATGTATACTGTATAAGTTTTAATAATATAATTTTTATTCTACTGAATAAAAACTTAGTATTTGATATTTGTTTTTAAATATTCACAATTTGCTACTTTTCTAACATTTCTAATAACTTTTCTCAATTATTAAAAAAAATAAAAATTGTTAAACTGAATATTCATGTATTATACATCATTATTTATACCGTTGTTACACACAGAGGTATAGATACAATTATTTTCTGGGGTGGGGGGGTGTTTAAGAATAAATTCATAATATTCTTAGTATATATTAATACGAGGTCCTATGTAATAATATTACAATTAAAATGTTGTTATTATTATGGTCCGTATTTAATAAAAATTATTTTATTATTATGTTACTCAATTTTTAATATATACCTAATTATAGTAAAATGAAAATATCATTATACTATAATATGTAAATATTAACAAATAATAATTAAATATCATTAAAAAAAAATCTCGAGGGTAGAAAAGTTTAACCTCCTCCCGTACTTACACCGCTGGTATACATATGGTGTTGTTCAACGGGTTATTTATAATGTATATTACATAAACAAATGTATAATATTGTTATTTATTAATTTAATATTATGTATTCACATTATCAATGAACGTTATCATTACAGAATGTGTAAACATTGCCACCTTTGCATATGGCAGCCATGATTAATGTCCATAGACCTATTAATTAATCAAACTTATTAACTATTTGTTAATAGGTTCATGTCCACCCCTCAGACTTCTATACTATACTTATATTTAAATTTGTGATCCTCCCGTAACATTGTACATCGACACTATCTAGTTGTTTTATATATTTGTGATTGCACGTGAACGTCCGACGATCGCAGTATTGTACACCGCTTGTCTATATTGTATCGTGTCCTGTTGTTATCGTGTGAAACATGATGACAAAATCTTATCATCGGTTATTGCACCCGCGCTTTTTGATTATTGTTATCATACCATTGCCGTAATTCGATCACGCAACGTCTCTAATTATTCATTCTGCGACCCTACCACCTACAGCTGCATCAACAATAAATTTGCAATACAATTCGCGTGTTAATGCTAATCGTATCACCGTGCTTGACAGTAGACTTGTAAAGTTATAAGAAGTTATGGCCGTTAATCGGTTTGCATTATCGCCATCGTCAGCAGCGCCCGCGACCTACGCTCGTGACGTTTTTCGCGCTTTAAAACGACGTGTTCCCATTGCGTGGCTGTACAGATGGGCGTAGCGAGGGTGGGACACTTACCCACCCTTGCGCTTCAAACTGAATTATATTTGTCTATACCAAACGTGTAAGTTTTACATTAAAATCAAAAATTAAATAAGAAATAAGTCTAAAAATAGTTTAGTGGGACCGAGTGTTATCTACACGTGTAATCGTTTTAATGTTTTATGTGTTATCCAATGGTCTATCTGTAGATTATTTGAATTATGAGTTTAACACTAATCGCTTTATGTTTTTGCCCCCTCTGATTTAAATCTTAGCTACGCCCATTGCTGTATACCGCCCTAACGAAACCCATACACGCGCACGAATGGGTACTTTGGCGATTCGCGTGCAACTCAAGTGTCGATCGACACGATCTCACTAAATGACCATTGACGTCGTACGCATGTGATGGCATTTAGCATAGGAGGTTGAATTCAGGTTTTTAGATTTCAAAGTTATAAACATTCTAAAAATTGAAATTACTAGGCAAAAACAATATACATACTAATATACTAAAATATAGATACACAATTTAAAATTTAAGATTATATAGAATAATTAAATTAAAAAAAGTAAACATTTTTTATCAAATATTTGTATTTTTAAATGTAAATTGCGTATTACTTCAAATAGTTTCATTTTTACTATGATTTAATTTTTAATTTTATTATTCTACGGAATAATATCTAGAATATCTTAAAGTTTGGTTTTCACATATTCGATAATTGCAGAGCTATTCGGTGTTAATTAACACCATCTAAATTTTCTTGATGTTTTCTGTTGCCAACACCAACTTACGGAGAAGTACTAATGAAATTCGTCAAATATTAGGTCCAAATATTGCGACCAGAGTGAAACTTCAAAATACGCCCTTAAATATTTTAATTTATTAAAAAAAAACTCACAAAAAAACTGAATATTTTTATAAATTTAGTATTAATAATGATTTTTTTCTTATAATTATGTAAGTGTTAATTAATTTTATTTAAATCAATAACATATTAAATATAAATATACATAAGAATTATAAGTAGGTTCATAGGTATAACATAATAATATTTATAAGTTACCTATGTAAGTAATTACATAAATATATAATATTGCTTTTACTTATACATTTTTTTATTTTTGCGCCCAAAGCGTTGGTACCTCCACCCCCCTTGCTATGATTCTGCCAAATAGAATAAATTTCTTAAAACGTAGCGTTGTCTCCGCCATCCCAGATATTATTTTTGTATAAATTGCGCAGCCTAATGGTGGAGCCCATGTACGTATAAATGTTTGTTTTTGTTATTTAATAAACAATGGTGACCGGAAGTGTAGGTAATGTGAAAACAGATCCCGCCCGGCCTTCAGTTCAATAGAAAAAAAAAGTTTTCTTATAATCGAGTATCGGTCGTGAATCGTTTATCATTTGATTTTATTTTCTTTGATAAATTTTAGTTGTCGTGTAGTCATTTTATTTCATTTGGTTAATCTTAGTTGTCATGTTTTCTAACTACTAACTAGTATGTAGATTTTAAATTATTTATAAAAATGCCCAGTTAATTTGGTTTATCATTTATTTACCAAATTTTTTTGTTATAAGAATAATTACAATCTTTATCAATTTGTACATTAAGTAATTTTTATAATACATGTTTTACAATAACAAGAATTAACAGAATGAGAGGGCACTCAGTAGTGCCACCCAACAAATTATTTTAATAGATTTCTAGGTCAGGTCCGATTTAATCTTCTTAGAGGGTTGACAGGATTTTCGTAGGAGGAAAGACGATTGATTGGCGGGCTTGTATGTTGAGCTACTTTAGAGTGGAATGAATTTTTACCAAATTAACGGTATACATTTAATTTTTTGTTATTTACATTTATTTTTAAACTAATTTATTACCTATTTGTATATTTATTAAAAAAAAAAAAATAAATAATTATCTCGTAGCCTTTACCACCCCTACGTATTATCATCAATGGATCATATTGGTTACACAGAGCATATTTTAATATAAAAAGTACATGGCACTAGTGCCCCCCAGTGATAATTGAATGCTACCCAGAATGGGTGATCATGCCACTGACTAATACTAACACATGTTCTTAAAGACCATGATGACAGGAGTTGATTTTTTCTGTATGTTACTCCGGTAGATAATTTTATTGAAACACCACCCAGTGAAAATTACTTAAGAAATGTTTTGTTTACTTTTAAATTATTCAACAAAAATATATTGTGTAAAATATAAGTTACCTAATGCTGAACTTGAATAATTTTTTAACTTAGTACAAATTACATACAATTGCAGTATTTTTTATTATTTTAGTTAAATCACAGGATATACAACTATGAGTTTTAATAATGTAATGTATGGAAAGATAACTTGAATATTTTATCAATTTAAAAAGATATAAGTAATATTTTACATTTTATTCCTCAAAACCTTATCATTGACATTAGTTTATATTTTTATTTTATTGTATGTATTAATGAAAAATTTTAATGTCACTTATGTAAGTACATAAGTTTTTAATACAATTTTCATACTCATGAATAGATACACATAAATAAAAAATAAAATCAACTTTATTAAGAGAAAAATATTTGTTTAAATGTCAACATGTTTAATTTAAGTGGTCTTAAACATAAAAATACAAACTAACAATCTAATTCTAGTCAAATATTAATAATTAATAAGAAATAATTAGCATTACCTATTAGTGGTAATTTATATTAAAAAAAAAAAAAAAAACAATTATTTGTGCCCATAACAAAGCATGTTATTTGTGTTAAAAAAAATATACAACTAAAATAAATTTAAAATTGCATAAAATAATATTTAATTGAAATTTTTAAGAAATATTGTAAATGGTTTACAAAGAAATGGGTGATCAATTTATAAGTTCATAGCATTTTGTAGTAATCATTTAAATTTTAAGTTCATAAAAAAAAAACTTACAAAAATGTATACATTATTCTTGAAAAATTATTATAAATGACATTAAATTAAAGAAGAAATAAAAAATGTCAAATAATAAATCAGTAAAAACAATTAATTCAATTAAAAGGAAAAAATAAGAATGTTTATCTACTTTTTTAAAACCAATAAGTTATTTTGTAAAATTTGAAAATTGAAATTATAAACATTTAGTTTGAACAATGCAGTAACTATAATTTAAAACCCAAGGCTATTTACTATTTTCACTCTGAATCAGAATCATCATCATCATCATCATCATCATCATCATCTTCGCTGTCATTATTATCATTTTCATTATCATTATCTTCTTCTGACGAACTATCTTCATTTTCTGATGCACTTGATTCTTTATCAGTCTTTTCAGTTACTAATTCAGGTTTCCTTAATTTAAGATATAACTTTAAATCGTCTTCAGAAAGAGATTTTAAGAATACTTTCAAATCTTTCATATATTCTTTTTTAAGTGCCTTAAGTTCATTTTCATACTTAACTTGCTTACGACCAGCTTTACTATTCCACTCTTCTAAGCTTGTAATTTGATGTTTTTCATTTGGTTCAATTTTACTTCTGTATAATTCAAATGCATTCTTAAAAGGCACACCTTTTGGTTCATTTTCAAACATCTTAGTTTTTGGGTTATATTTTGAATCGGTTTTTTTCTTAGGTTTTTCTATGATTCCTTCTCTAGCATTAATTCTTGGGACAACTTTTGGTTCAGCCTTCTTAGGTTTTACTTTGGTTTTAGCAATTTCTATTTGTCTCTCGTTTTCGGGTAATGTTTTTAAGAATGCATCATATTCGGTCTTATATCGTTCAACAATTACTTTCAACCTATCAGCATAAATTTGTCTCTCTTCATTTGAAAATGCTTTCCATTTTTGTGCTAACATTGTCATTCTCTCTTTTGGTGGAACTCCATCTAATGCATTACTTTGTAGCATTTCTTTGGAATAGAGACCATAACTATTAACAGGGGGCTTTTTTGGTTTACCTGATTGAGAATCCAAAATGTTTCTATCACCTTTGGTCAAAGCACTTTTTGTTGGTAAAGTAAAAGCTGGATCATTTTTATGGTCTTCTTTCAAATTATTTAAATATGTTTGCTCCCGTTCATTAGCTAATTTAATATACTTTGATTTTTTCTTTTCTGACATATTATCCCATTTCTCTTTGAGATGATTTTGAAATTCAGTTTTATCAACATTGCTGTCTAAATCTGTAGACTTAGCCTCTAGAAAAATTTGGAAAGGTGTTTTGGGTTTACTTAAAGGTTTACTTGAAGATTTACTCGTGGATTTATTTGAAGGTTTAATTGATTCCTCCGTCACTGTTGCCGTGGGTATGAATTTCGTTTTATCAACCATTTCATTATATTCAGTTCTTAATTTTTGTGCTTGATCAATATAATATTGTTTTTTTTCAGGTGATAAATTCTTATATTTCTCTGCAATAACTTGTGTAAGTTCAGTCATTTTTAAATCTGGATGTTTTTTCTTGGTTTTTTGTAAAATATCCATGTAATATATCATATATGCAGACTTAGGTCTATGTAAGCGATTTTGTTTGGACTGATATGTATCAATGCCTTTAGTGGCTAACATATATTTAGCATCATTCACGAGATCTCCTAATGTTTTGAATGTTCTAAGTTGATCTTGAATAGCTAACCATGTAGATTGACATTCATCCTTATGATATTTACCAAACTTAATTTTTTCCCAGTCTATCTTTGATAGTCGACTTCGAAATGAAGTACTGTCATTCTTAGGAAGTATTAATTCCATTTTAGCTAAAAGTTTTTGAACATCATCTTGAGGCCATCGACTGATAGCTGGAATATCATTTTTTACTTCATGGTTTAATCCATTATCTTGATCAGACTGTTCATCAGATTCTTCAGATGATGACGATTTTTTTAGAGTTACGTTTTTTCTTTTTTTATCATTATTTTGAATTGTATTCATAGATTTTCTTTTCCGATCATTTAAGCCCATTTTTACCTGAAAATAACAATAAAGGATTAAAATTAATAGGTAGATATATTTAATTTGTCAAAATATTTAAAAATACTAATACATTTATATAGGAAGTATAACTATCATATATTTTTCGAAAAAAGTATTAATTTATAAGTCTAAGAGAAAAGAAAAAATTAAATAGGTTATTTTTAGTTAAAAAAAAAACGTTGAACATTAAGTACAGCCAATTATAAATAACTTATTTGATTATAGCAGAAAGAACTAAAAATATTAACTAAATATGTTATGTTAAATTTTAATACAATATTATATAAACATGTAAAGATATAGCCAGAACATTTACTTGCAGGTTTATATAAATTTATTAAAGTCAAAAACTTTGCACTAGAACAATGATTCATAACTTTTTTTTTGATATGACAACTCAGACAAATCATAGCAAACCAAACTTTTTTTTAGCTTAATAATTTAAATGTTTAACATTTTTTTGGGTAAGTTTTTAATCAAATCTAGTTGTACTTCACAAATAAAATAACACGCCAGGCTAAAAATGTATTAATATATTTATTAATATACAAGTATTTAACATTAAATATTTTTTAATTTTAATTTTTTATTATTTTATATAAAGCCTCTTTTATTTTTGCATAAGCTTTAATATTTTGTAATTTAATGTAATTTTTATAAATTTATTTATTTTATTATTTTTTTATTTATTTATTATTTTGATTTGATTATTATGATTTATTAAGAGAAAAATCTCTAGTATAACTTTTAGTGAAATATAAATATTTTAATAATATGGCATAGATAAATAAAAGCTGTAAAGCAAAATCAACTATTTGTTGTTTTATTTTTGTGGTAATATTATTGGACTCCATAAATTTAAAGAATTGATTAATTCAGGCCTCCATTAAATAATTTCAAAATTATAAGGTATGCCCAATCAAGCACTGTGATTAAAATAAATTAAGCTTTATAAAATTGGACAATAAAAACAAAAATCTTTTAACTAATAAGTAGTAAGTACATTTCAACAAGGTTTATGTTTTATAAATTTGTTTTTGTTTTTTTTTTTTTTTTATTAGGTACAGTAGAAACTGCTTATAAGGAACACGGATAATTGATACAATCGTTTTATTGAAACAATATATCAGTATTTGAAACAATAAGGACCAAGGTAGTAAAAAAATTCTGGTTATTTGGTTATAATCAATGTATTATAATTACAATGTACTTAATTTATGTTGTTACGATCGAAACTAGTTGAACTCTCGGAACAAGTGAACGAAGAATGAATTAATATGGACTCATATCTCGATGTTGTAGAGGTTCCAACAGAAGAAGAGATCTGTAATGCGGTTATGAATCCTCAAACAATTTAACATGCTCTCACTGACGATAAAGAAAAAGAAAGTGAAGCATCCCCATGAAGTAAAAAAATTGTAGAATTTCTAAGCGTATTTAGAAGAGCAGTCCTGTACTGTGCAGACAAAAAAAAAGAAAGGCTTTGGGCATTTAATTATTCTTACAAAACCATGAACAGCATATTTTACTTAGCATATACATTCTTTTCATAATAAATAATATCAATCGCTTATTAGAAACAATAGGTTAATTGAAAAATTTCACCTCGGTCGAAAGGTGTTCCTAATAAGTATCTTCTACTTTACTTCCATTAATGAATTGAATATTAAAATTTAACTACTCTATGTATTTTAATAATATATTATTAATAAAATAAAACAAAAAAATTATTCGGAAGAGATATCAGACATTTTAAGGTACAATAAACTAAATTTTTGTTTTTCCAGTAATTAGTTTTGAGTTTACAATTTAAATACAAGGCAGATGTATAAGCTTTGCAATAAGGAATATAATAAGTATATAATGATTAATATTAGGTAGTGTATATTAAGGTAAATCTTATTATTTAGATATATATTATGTTACTAATCCTGAACTAAGAATAGTCAAATACTTTAGGAAAAGGAAATTAATATGTAACTACATTGCTCAGTACTAATCGATTAATTATGCAAGTACAATTTTAACTTATGAATCAGATAAACAGTAATTTAACGGTGTCCTCATTGAAATTCATGCACTTGGTTAGGTTAATAAAAGAGCTTGGTTGCATTTCATTTATATATAGCTAAAATTGAGCAAACGGCAGTTGATCATTAATCTATAAACAATGATCCGTTAATGATTAACGGACAACTGTGTCTGGATAAAGATGAGTCTGCTCAGACCAATAAGTGGAATGCTCCTACATGAAGGGAAATCGTAATCAAACGAAACACGGTATGGTGAGATATCGCAGGAGTCGTAAGATCGTGGGGAGGGAGGATGGTGTTCGATTCGCACTAACCGGTGCGTTGACAACTTGGTGTTCGCGTGTTTGGTCGCAGCCATGAGATGTCGCCAAACACTTGTTGAACGATGGCTGGACACAATGCGCATGTAGCGGCAAACAGGAAATACTTGTGGTAGATATCGGTGGAAGTGTTCGTTTCGTGAAAACGAATGGTAGGACATCACAATGGGACTTGATAGGCTTTTTTGGAAAGTGAAACCGAAAAAAAAAAAGGAGAAGGAGAAAAAAATTAAACGAATAAACTATACCTACGTGTGTGTCTGGACGGATACAAACAGTTCACCATAGACTATCGAACGCAATGTGATCGACAGAAAAATGCGGCAAGACAGGTTGCGACTTGGGAAATGGGCGCGTACTGGTCGCTTGCAGCAGAAAATTCCGTTACAAAACGTTGACGGGGAACCGCGTAAATACGTGTAGCGAAATAACAAACTAGCGTGTGTGTGCAATTGTTGATAAACGAGCAGCTATTTGATATTTTGTTTACACCACACGGCCATGGAAGAAACGATTCCGTTTACCAGACCATTGTTGGTAGTTGCGCGGCGGCGCGTGACAACGACCGGACGTGGCGGTCGACGACGTTGCATACGTTTTCGTAGTACCCGTTTCCGTCGCGTTTGTTTTGGAAGGAACCTTTTAAAATTACAGAAGTAATATTTTATAATTTATATCACATTTGGCCGTGTTTCACAAAATCACAATGATTAGGAAGATGATATTTTATAAATATCTTATATTTAGGATATAAATTTCGATTTGTTCATTATTTCTGTACAGATGTTGAAGTTGAACACTAAATGTTTTTACAAGCACTTACATCACATATAAATAATGAATTTTACTTTAGATAAACATTTAGTTGCCTATCGTACAAGTTTTGCTAACTTAATATTTTTGTCTCACATAAAGGCACATAAAATACCAATACAAATACGAGTACATTAGTATTTATAAATAAAAATTTAAAATTTGAATGAAAATGTTTCAAGAAATAAAAATAAAAAATATAAACAATAATAAATATTTATCTTAAACAAAATATACTTATACTTTATGAAATACAATACGCAAACTATATACGATCATTTTACAATAAAACCACATCAATACAATATAAGCATTGGTTATTTAATTCATATTTGGTACAAAATACGAGTATTAAATGTTTTTATTTATGTGTTTACCAACCGTAGTTGTTATAACTTCAATATATCGATGTATACGTTCTTTCCGTAGTGGTGAACTTGCGACTCCGGTCAGAGCCGTACCTAGCCATTTTTTATCCTGAGGCAGAACTGAAGCAATGCGCCCCCTATGTTGTAGGGTTGTCATACTCACAGCTTTTAATATGTATAATACGATTCGGAAAAATCTGAAAAATTGTAATTAGATTTCTAGCAAAACAAGAAATAACATTTCTTAAAATAAGTTAATTGTTTAATATTTTTGCGCCCCCCAGCTTTAAGCGCCCAAGGCAAGTGCCTCACTCGCCTCACCCTAGTTACGGCTCTGGGGGCCTATTCTCAAACGCATCGAAAGTGATGATCGAATAGAATAGTTCGATTGACACTATTCGATCATAAAAGTTCATTCCACACAGAATATTCGATCTATCGTATTCTCAAACGACTATCGAATGTTGATCATCGAATAAAGTAATATTCAATACACTATTCGATTGACGAAAAAAATCATTGCTTTTTCCATGATATTATCTGTTGTAAACTATTAAGTTAGTAAGACACGCATATCTAACGCTTCATCATTTAAAATGATATTGTATTCAACATAAAAATATAAGTCTTATGAGCAATAAAGTTTCGCACCACATAAATCCTCGGCAAACATGACTTCTCCTGCCGCAGCCTTTATTAACGGAAGACCAGCAAGAAAAATTGTTCCGATATTTCTCACAATTACATTCTCATCAGCCATAGTAGGCAAGTAAGCAGCGCCTGCCGTACAGCTCTCCATCACTACGGCTACCTGAAACATTGATGTCATTAAAATTCTTTTAAGTAAAACTTTATAAATTGGATAATTTTAACATTCTTACTTGAGTAATATTTTTTGAAGACATAATAGCTTCATTGAAAAATATTCTCCCAAAATGTTCTCTGTCAGGAAAAATGTCTGCCTGTTTTTTCAAATAACCACCACCAGTGTCGACCAAATAAATGCAAGGTTACCGTATTACATTATTAAAATGTTAAAATTATTATTCAATTAGAATTTTTTTTTGTGTAAAAAGTTTTTATTAAATTGATTTTAGATCAAATTTTAATTTATTTTTATTTTTATCACTAATAGTTTATTTATAATTATATAGTTTAAATAACGGAGAAATTTAAAAAGCACATTTTTCACTGGGAAAACTTGAGTTGGGTAATTATGATAAAAACAAGATAAAATCAATCGTGGACCAGGCACGTTTTCGGGGGGGGGGTGACCCCCCCCGTTGGCCGTATCAAATTGTGTTAATTTAATTTGATGTACTATTAAATTGCATTATCTTACGTAATAACATTATAATGTATTGTTATTATTACAAATTTTCGTCTTTTATTTTTATAACATAAATTAATGAATTGTCGATAAAAACAATATTATTGTGACCGTATGATCGACGACAACCGTCAGCCGGCCAGCCCCAGCCGACTCATAGAGTATACTTATTTATAATTCGTCCCTCCCGTTATGGTAGGCTGGATCCGCGCCTACCGTGGACCCAATTCACGTAGTATCAAATGTGACCATGGACCCAATTTGAGTATTATTAAAGAACCGCGGACCCAAATCGTGCTTTTTTAAGCAATCAAATATCTCGGGACCCAACTAAAAAGTTTCCTTTACATCAATGTATATCTATATAATTTAAATCACTAAAATGTTGTTATAAGTAGGGTGCAGATTTTTATGTAATAAAAAAGTCAAAATATGTAAATATTTACGTTCTTATTTTTGCTAAAATATTTATTAAAAAACGTAAGATATTTAACAAAAAAAAATTGGTATAATATACCTATTTTTTTTTCCCAAATTTATTCTTCTGATAACGTATGTTGCTTATCAAAGTTATTATTTTTTAAAAATTGTCTTGTCAATTTAATTCTAAAATGTTTAACCTTTCAATTTTCGTATAATGTTCATGACTAAAATTTCAGTTGATACAATCCCGAACTGCAACCCATTATGTTATCTCCCAGTACTTTACTTCTGCGTCATGTGCATAAACCTATTGCAAATGTTGTCATAGAACGTGCGAAACAGTCTCCTGTATTTCGATCATTTGCATATATGCCACCTGCTTAATTTTACAATTGGTGCGAAGTTAAATGAAAATGTATTTCACGAATCTTAGTACTGATGGCAAGGTCAAGCCCTTGAGTGAAACCATGGCCAGTGAACTTGGGTCGAATCTACTGTGGTGAATGTGCGTAGTATGCATGGGGCTCATAAAATTGTTTTTGAAAATAATTTCAATTTTTTTTTTTTTCATTAAGTAGTGATAAATATATTTGAAAAAATGTTTGTTAAATTCTCAAGATAATTTTTTAAACCAAAACGATTTACGATTATTATTTTTCGAGTTACGAAGAAAAATAATATATGTACCTATATTTTATTTTGTCAAATATACCGTACATAAATGTTGCCTTTTTTTATAACTTATCGTCAGTATTTCTCAATTATTAAAAACTGTTGAGAAATTATGTAATCAACCTCTTCAACATACCAACTAGACAACATTTTATATATAAAATCTTTAATAATTGTGATTATCATTTTGGTTGAAATTGTGTACACAAACACAAAATAAAACACATCATATTTAAGCCAATACATTCCACATTTCACTCAGAATTTAAAATACAACGGTGTAGTAATGGAGAATAGCAGTTACATGATTTAATAATAATGTACTATGTATTATTATTATAACTGGTACATTACACTATTAATAATAACAGCTAACAGAAATCGTGTAAAATAAATAATGATTTTTCCAAATATAATTAAATATAATTTTTGATATAATTTCTTAACAGAATACAATATAACGTACTAAATTATAAATTAATTAGTTATTAATATAATATTTTATATTATAACTATTGTGATAAGTAGGTGGACTGTACTTGGACTCTAAATTGTTTTCAGATGGTGGAGGTGTAGATGAAGGTGATGACAATATTTATGGTGAATTATTATACTTCTCTTCCACATCACTCATTATCTCTAACAACATCGCTGCAGCAGCCTGACCTTCTTCTGCCATAAGTATTTCATCAGCCGTTAAACTGATAGGTTCAACTTCAATTTGCCTCTCTTGTACTATTTCTTCTTCCGTCTAAACAATATCAGTTATAATTAATTTTGGTTCTAATTTTATGGCATCTAAATTGGTTTTAATTGATTCTTCTTGAATCAAATCAAGTATAGGTGTTTAAGGTGGTGGTGATGGTAATGATGGTGATATTGGTGGTGGTGGTGGTGGTGGTGGCGGTGGTGGTGATGTTGGTGTAGTTGGAGATGGCTCATGAAATACTTTTTTAATCAATGGAATTGGTTCTGATTCAACTGATTCTTATTTTACTGTAATATTATCAAATCCATCCAACTGCACAGGAAATTTTACATCTAATTGTGAAGATGAAGATGAAGATGATTGTGCTGATTTTTTACTAACCTTTGTTCGTTTCACTCGAGACCGATCGCTAGTTGCTGACCTCTTTTTCTCATTTCCCAATGAAACAGCTGGTTTTATCTGTTCTTTCATTAGGTCAAGTCTTATTTGTTCTTTTTCCTTAAAAAAAAAAAAAATAAGTAAAAATATTATACCTGTCATAAATATTAAATTGTTTTAAAAAATATACTTGTTCAATTTTCTTCTGTTTTATCTTATAAGATAACAACATTTCTCTATACATATCTTCAGTTGGATCAAAATGATTACTCATAGGCAAAGCAATTTTAGACAAATCTAGACGTTCAGAGAGTAATTTTTTTAATGTATTAAAACGGTTAATATGTTGATTTTTTCTGGAACATCAATTAATAACACTAATTAAGTACATTAACAGAAATTAAAAAATATTGCTTTAAATAATCCATACCTATATTTTTGTTTGAGAGTACGTTTTAACAAAGATTTCATTTTAACAATATCAGGACGATAATATCCATTTTTTAATTTGTCATGAAAATCATCAATTGGATTAACTCCAAATCGAAAACTTTGACCACCAAAAAGCATTCTTAAAGTGATTTCTTTTTCCATTAAATCATTTTCAGGAAAAGTTGGAAGAAAATTCTACAAAAAAAAAAAAAAAAAATGTTAGTATGTTTTACACTTAATTTCATTTTTATAAGTTTTATTTGTATAAAGGTGAGTTTCTGTTACACAATTATACCTTTAAATGTTGCTTTTGTTGGTCACTTAAGCATACCCAAGAATTAACAGAAAAAAGTTGCTTGAAAACTTCTTCATCTTCGCACATTCCAACAGGTAAACTAAGCTCAGTTTTATTAGCCACTACAGTTTCAGTTTTGAGTGATATAGTTTCGTCTTCATCTGCAGTACTAGTACTTTCAGAATCAGAGCCTGACTGACTACTACCACTACTACTGGATGCAGATGTACTCGTGCTAGATGTTGATGTTTCAGAATCGTCGTCACTATCATCCTGTTCAATTTCAGGAGACGACAATTCTTCTTCATCTGTATTTGAAGTTGATTCTTGCGGCCAATTTTCATAATTATTATACCCCGACATTATTGAGTCAAAATATAATTACTGAAATTAGTATAAAAAATATTAAACCAATTACTAGTTTCAAAGTTAATACTAACATAACATTTTCATAAACAATTTATATTTTTAAATTACCTAGGTAATATTCAATTTTTTTAAAAATGTTATAAATAAAATATTGGCTATAAAAAAAAAAGTAGTTCAGAAGACACTTTGAAATTTTTTGTTTAAGTATTAAAATCTGTTTTCAATAAATCACAAACAAAATTCAAGGTCATGGATCCATAAAATAATATTTTTATATAAATTACTTTACATAATTACTTTCCATCGAACATGTTAATTGATTAAAAAACTACCAATAGTAAATTATTTAGAAAAATAATGCGGATAAAAGATATAACTAAAATATTAAATAAATTGATTAATAAATAAATGATTGCTAGTTATTAATATTTACTTGATATCTAATTTATATTATTAAGTAAAATATCATTACACTTTTATGTTCCTATCATTTTAACTACCCTCAATAAAATAGTAGTTATTTTATTCATTATTATTTATCTTAATATTTTGGTATGACCCTTAGTTTAATATATTTTTATATGTATACATTTATTAAGTGTGTCACCAAGTAGGTATTATCTGTATTATACTGTCACATTACATTGTTTAAGGTTTCACCCATTTATTGTTAAAAAAAATAAATAAACAAATAAAAAAATGTACCTTATTATGTGGGGGCTGTATCCCTCATATAAATTTCTGTAAACCCCTCATTTTATCAAAAATTAATAAATTCTAGTTTTAAATGTTTTTATAATTTTTTTAAAATTCATCAAGCTTTAAATATTAGCAGTATTTTGTGTATTAACAATTATTGCACTAACATGATGTATGTATGATGATGTACATTGCGGATTTATTTTTGATTTTTCAAGTAAGAATTAATTATTTAACTATGTATACGCATTATATAATTATGGTAGAATTGAATAGTCCTCGAAGTAAAATGTACCGTTGACGGTAGTCAAATATCTACTATTGTTTAATATTAGGCAACATTCAGACGAGTAATGTCGTATCGACTGTCAAACGTGTCATGGGATAAATGCGAGTGTGCAATGTTCATCAATATGGTTATACAATTGTACAAGTATTGTTTTTAAAAGTTTCTATCGTGATTACCACGTAAAGCTTACGAAGGATGCGATATAATCAATATAACATAATGTTAAGAATTATAATATTTTCTAATAAATTAATCAATACATTAAATTTATAATCTTATAAAATGTACCTAATAAAAAATATGAAGTATGTCCATTTAAATGTAAATGTCTTAGCAATCCTAATACATGACTTAGACGCCAAATATGACTATCATGTGTACTTCCTGGAAATTTGGCACATATATTCAAAATTTGGAGGTTTGAATCACAAATCTTTATCAAACATAGTATAAATTATTTTATTTACAACATTTTTTATCTGAAATATTAAATAATATTATCATGCTTTAAATGACCAAATACCAATTGTGTATTAATACCGTGATACCCTTTTCTATTAATATATACATGTTCTGGATAAATAGGCTCGTCAGACTTAGGTGGTACAATGGCAATATGAGTCCCATCAATGACACCAACGACTCCAGGTATTCCAAATTTTTCATAAAACCTTAGCATTAAAATTAATATAAGTATAATAAGGGTTATAATATTAGGATTTTTAAAAACATTTTTTACCCTAAACGAACTTCTTTGAGTTCATCAATAGTACTCGGAAAATGTATATATTTATTAAGTATTTCTGGAACATTTAAAGCATTAGCTACTTCAGTAATGCATCTACTAACTGAAGCTTGACTTACAGCAGCACCTCTGTGTTCCCCTATATCTTGCTGGTAACTTCCACTCGCAAAAAATCTGAGAGCTGTTAATAACTAGCAAAAAAATAAAATAAAAAATATTAAATCAATTAAAAATAAATTTTAAATTTGTATGTACCTATTATTTTCTATTACTAACCTTTCTTTGAATACTTAGTCCAGTAATTGTTGACGGACTTGACATGAAAGGACTTAACTCATCCATTAACTTTTGTACAAGCACCTTACTTAAACGATAAGTACCAATAAACTGTTGTTCAGAGAGTGCTAAAAAATTAAATGTATATAATGATCGATAATTTTTGGAAAGCAATTATATATTTGTTTATAACTAAATATATATATATATATAAAATAAAAACTTACCAAAAGGATCTTCTTGTTTCATAACTCGTCTTACTTCATTAGTAATATTAATTTCGTTTTGAATTTCTAATTCATTAATTTGCATTATATTGTAAATCTCAAAATCGTCATCAAATGCCATGATAAATATTTAAACATTCATTCTCGTTCGCGAACTATACTCTTTTAATTATTAATTATAGATTATAATACTAAATACGATACAAGTACGAACAATAAATTGAAAAAACTGATAAATTAGTTGATTACAGTGAAAATTGTGTGTCGAAAACAGTTTTCGACACCAAATTCACTATCGTTGTATATTGTCGAATATTCCTATCGAACTAATGATCGAAAGCGGTTTGAGAATAGTATTTTTGTTATCAATCGAAATCAAAGTTGTTTTCGATCAACTATTGATCGAAAGCGTGGTTCGATACGTTTGAGAATAGACCCCCTGGCTTCGATACTAACCAAATTGGCTGCGCGGCGGTGGACGTGCATCAGTAGCGCGTGACCGTCGCCCAAGTACCGATCGCAATAAGGGCACATGGCGTCCCACGAGTCCGGGTGCCGTAAGTGCTGGTACGGGACCTTGCGGTTGCTGAACCGCCTGCCGCATAGCTCGCATGTGTGTGCTCGACTGACGCCGCCCGGCACCCCCATGCGATATAATTAGTGCGCGACGAATTTACGGCCGCACCTGGACCTATAGCACGCCAGCCTGTCCTCTTTGCGGTGCTCCGCGCGCACGTACCGGTGAAGTACACCAGACACTGCTCGCGCTTGATGGGCACCGGCCCAGGAGCTCCATTTGAGGGGGGGGGCAAGGTGTGCACTCGCAAATGAATTTTTTTCATCTTCAATTATGAGCCTAGGCGTCACTGATACATGGCCTTGCTGCCTGGCCTTCAGTTTTCCAATCTTTAATATTATGCATGCACCGCGACTAATCAGTAATCACTGCTAATCATAAATTTTGGCCTGGTGATGGGAAAAAATTGGCCTCTTTAATTGCTTGCACACCCTTAAAAAAAACTGAAATGGCACCGCTGCACCGGCTCCGTCCACGTCCAGTCTGTGGTGATATTGGCGCTGGGCGCAAGACAGTAATACTCGGGTTCCGCCGTCCGTAAATCCCATCTTTAAAATTGATTCACGCTTAGCGTAAGCGGAAGATGCAACGGCAAACCTGCACCACCGCGAGAAAACAGGACGGAGGTGGTGTATATGAATATAAAAATATTTCAAATATTAATTTATGTTGTATTTTGCACAAACGTTTCATTTCAAGGTAAATGTATAAGACATACATGTATTTATATTTATATGATTAAATGATTATGTTTTTAATACAATAAAAATTTGAAGAAAACATTTTGTAGATGAAAAAGGCTTCGAGCCGTTCTCGTAAACCGATTTCTTGGACGCGCGTCTGTGTTCGCATACAGTATGTTCGCATACGGGTGTACACAATGTATTACACAGACCACCTATATAAAATATTGAATTACCCTGTATGTACGACCCGAATCAATTTTAATATAATTTATAAAAATATATTTATATATATTAATATATATTTTTCGACATAGTAATAATCACTATTTCGGAATGATTCGATGTGAATAGTTTCATGTTGAAATGACAACAACCTGTCTGCCATCACCGTCGAACAATAACACTTGTAACTTTTGAATTACTTTTAAATAATTATTTTAATTAAATATAATCGTGGTACATTGCTCTCGACACGCGTAGGTACGTGCCACTATCACTCCGCGTACCTTGTCAACACTTAAGTAGTATAGATACAAAGTTTAAATGTACTGCAGAGTAGTTATATTTATATTTAAAAGAGAAGAATTTTTATTGAAGCAGAAAAATATTGTTCCTGTAATAAGTCAAAAACACGAGAGAATACCATCAAAAAAGAAAAAAATACAAACGAGATTTATTTACGACTAGTAGCGACAGAATGCATAGCAATGAGTAATTTAGCCACTCAGGTTTATTTTATAAATTTTTAAATTTTAAATTTGTTTTTAAATTAGAGCAGTTTGTTTCCAAAGACGAAACAAATTAACGTAGGAATTCCTCGTAAGACTCACTAACCGTAAATGTGAAGCGTACACTCAGAGATGAAAATCTTACCTACAGTCCAAAATCATTTTGTATACTGAAATGTCTTTTATCTCTTTCGAATGGCTACTGCACTTGGTCTACGATAAAACTCAGTTTTGTAGTATTAATTTAGAAGCTGAAACATTAACAATTTTCAGTCCTTAAGTATTTTGTGCTGTTCAAAACACCGATGAAAATTGTACTTCCATTTTCTTCTATGTAATTGTGTGAAGTTGGATTTTCCAGAATGATACTCATAAAAACTAAAACCAGGAATTAGCTTGGTGTTTGACTACTTCAGAGAAACCAAGAATAGATCAAATTGAGAAAACAAAAAAAGAACAGCGGTCTCATTAATTTTTACTAATTTATAATTATACTTATTTTATATTTCTTTTGTATGGTTATAGTAGTATAACGGTAATTTAATATTTTATTTATAGATTTGATTATTTTTTGAAATTTAATTTATTTAATATATAAATATTTCATTTAAAACTAAGAATAAAAGGAAAAGTTTTTGACTTTTTGAACTATAATCATTTAAGGGTCGTAGTCCTACTTAATGAGCCATCTGCTGATCCAGAACAGTAAAAAGGCTGAAAATCACTAGCGAAGGTGATATTAATGTAATCTGTAGTAATGTTAGTGGATAAGATTATAATGAGACAGTGTTGGACGAAAAGAGAAATAATGTTTTTAGCGATAAGTGCGTTTAGAATTGAGGAAAAGTGTAGATTAATAGAATTATTAATGAATTAAGATTAGAAATTAAATGTGAAAAAGTATTTGAGATGTAAGTTGTGATTTTATTTTGGCGTTAAATAGCTTTTGCGTATGATGAGGTTGAGTATGAGAATCAGGAGAAACTTGACTGAAAGGACCTTTGAAGTGGATTTATAATAACTGACTTGAAAGCCGTGCATTTTTCGAAGTTCGTGCTTTGATCCTCGGTTAAGAAGGTAAATCGAGGAGGGGATTATTATTTTAAGTGAAATCTTCTTTATGGTGATTATCACCACAGTTGTCGCATGTGATACATGATAGTTTTGCATGTATCCGTTGGCTTCACAGTTATAATATTACAGGGAGCCTCATACTTTTTTGTTTTAGTTACTGTTTTAGTGCAACGCAACGAATTCATGTTATGAAAATTCTTTATTATTTTGCAGGAAAAAGTACACAAAATAAATTGGAAAACTAATTTCTATATTTATCAATCGATATTAATTTAAAATTAAAATATTATTTTTATGAAGTTTACAAAGTCCTGTGTTGATCCAGTACAAATGATTGATCGACTCGACAAAAATGATAAAAATTGTTTCACTACAATATCTAAGTAAAAACTATTATATCAATAAACATACATTTCTTTAAAAAATATTGATACTGTAAATATTTTTATTCATGTCTGTATTATATGAGGTATTGAGGTTCTTGGTAATATTTTGACGTGACAACCGTCGACGAATTTCAATGTCGTTAAGAACATTAGTCTCAGGTGTTCCGGTGTCGGACACCTGTTTGATGGAGCAAATATATTTCTTCGTACTAGTGTCGATACAACTGTTTTAATTTGAAACATGGCGTACTTGATTCCAATACAATTTTTATATCCTGCACCGAACGGTAAGAAAGCGTTTGGATGTCGGCTACGGCACGCGTTTGGTAAGAAGTTGTCCGGGTTAAACTTTTCCGGATCGGAGTAATACTTTGGACTCGTTTGCACAAAAAGTGGAAAAATTAACAGCGTTGAACCTAGAAGTTAAAAAGTAAATATTAAAAAAAGTAATAACACCTAATTTATTAGTATACGCAAACGAATAAGTAGTGTTTGAAATATGAAATGCTCCTTGTGACAATTATTGACAATTATACGTAAAAATAAAACTTATTAAAAAAAAAAAAAAATTTAATATCGAAATATTTCATGCGTTTGAAATATTTTACAATTTTAAATTTCATGAAATTTTCAAACACTAGTAGTGGGCCGCTATGGTACGGAAAGGACCGTTACGGTATGAACTGGACCGCTACGGTACAACAAAATATTAAATTATTATTGTGTAGTGGTCTGCTACTTTTATGCCTCAAACCATACATTCCACTCTGATCTTAAAATACCTTAAATGTCATTGAATTACTCAAAACTTATTAAAAACGTTTTAGTAGTTGCTTAGATCACCATAAAAACCCTTTAATCTCCGAATTATCCTCTGTCACTATCCCAGACAACGCAATTAAAATACGTAAAAGACAGTGGTATTGTGACCTGCTAACCTAACTAATTAATTTCATCATGTCATAGTACCTCTATTGGGAGACCTCTACACTCTGTTTAATCTATAATTTTAAATTCTGAACGGAGCGAGGAATGTAATGGTTTTACAATGACGTTTATTTCTTTTTCTTTTTTATTCTGTAAACACTTTTTCTCCCTCTAAACTTGCTCAAAAGTATCAAGTGTAGCATCTTTTCTGAAAGGTAATGTTCTTGAGCTGATAATTTAAAGGAGTCATTTTTTAAAATAAAAGCGGTTAAAGAAGAAAAACGTACGATTTCACGATTTTTTAATATTAAATAATTACGGACGACATTTTCTACCAGAAGTATTGCTTCAAATTAATAATGATAAGAAATCTTTTTTGTTGTATTTCGGATTTTGTTTAATACGGTGTAAAGTTTGGAAAATTTTAATCATGTTTGAGCTATTTATAGATATTTTAATTTAGGGAGTTTTTTTGTTGTAATTCGGTTAAAACATTCATAAAAACTTGAAATTTGGGTTGTTTACTTATACTATCCTTACTTAGACATGGTAAAATTGTCAAAACATTTGAGCAACTTTTGAGCTTTTCTTTTATTTTATATTTTTTTTCATTTTTATTATATTTACTAATTATACATTTTAATTATAATTATATAAATAACATATTTATATAAATTGTTCTTAAGCTGTTCTTAAAACGCTTTGTTTATCGTCATAGAAACGAATAAAATTAAATAAAAAAGATTCCCTCTTCCGCTCAGAATCGTTTTTTATCGAATGCAATCATTGCATTTAAATCGAATACAGTAGAATTACACTATCCTATTTATTTTATTTATTTATCGATTTATTTCGACTAATTATTCTAAAACACGAAAGAAAACATTTTAAAAACGAAAAAAAAAATATGGATATTTATAATTTATAGTCCTTATCCCTGTGAATTATAAAAAAGGTAGGATTCAATTATATTTATTATCTCAGGATATATATGGTTATGGGTATTTCATTGTGTTTCACACTGTAAATATTATTATTTCAATTGAAATAAATCATCTAGGACATTTAATGTGAAAACTATGATTTTTTGCATACAATAATGTGATTGAAATTTATTTTATAAAATGGTTTTTAAAATGACCTGTTTAGAATATCAATCATATACATTTCAATGAGAGCTACGAAAAGTATGGAAAAGCTGATCAAAAAAATGTCGACTCACTATAGTCAAATGACGTAAGTACCTCTGTTTGTCTGGAATCTGAACTAATTACGATTTAAAATACGTATATTGATACATTCTTAATACCTGCTGGACATAAGTATTCCCCTATTTTCATTTCTTCATCTAAACTCCTCCCTAATAATGGTAAAGGAGAGAAAAGCCGCAACGTCTCCTTGATTACCCGTTCGAGATATGTCATTTGTTGTAAATCTTCATAAGTAGGCGTCCTTGTTGGATCCCCGACAGAAAATATCAATTCCAACTCTTCAAACACCTATAATTTCGAAAAACCTGTTAGTCACATGTGTTTTTCGTATTTTCCATTTTGGACTACTTGATAAACCATTGCATTAAATTTTATTCCAACCTAAGGGAAGTATGAAATAAATTGAGTTGGTATATAATTTTACATAACTACGGTTTAAAACAATTTTGTATTATACATGTACATAAATCGTAAATCTTTATTAAGAAATCGTAATAGAAAGTTATGTGTGAATTTTAAATTAATTTTCTTGAACACAAAAAACCGTAATAGAATTACAAATGCAAAAACAACAGCGGTATTGCTTATGAAAACATTCGTAAATAATACTTTTTTAAGATTTTAAATGTCTACAAATACCAATTCGAGCGAAAATTGTATCAACTGTAACAAATTTTTAAACAAAAGTTATAGTCCATTAGGTTAAGTCATGCAAAAAATACCAAGTTACTTATTTTACTAAAATTATTATGAACAATTATTTATTTAAGTTTAAATTTTCTTTAAGTATTTATACAGCACTTTAGTATTATTATTGGGCTGTATTTAGGACCCATAACAACAATAAAATAAACAAGATATGTTAGGAATAACAAATTGAATGTAAAAAAATTAGCCACCCTTCTGAAATTTACCACCCAGTAAAACATCCCTCTTTTTTACCCACTAAATACAACCTCAATTATCAACAAAGACAACGTTTGATAAAATTAATTTTTTTAGTATAAGCTCCATTCGATTTTATGAGATACTAAGGAAGACTATTAATACAATAGTGTATCACTAGTAACTAAATATACGAGTACATTAGGTATTGTAAATTCAGCAATACCCCATTCGGTTATAGAATTCAAAGATGTTATTAGTTTAGTTTTATCAAATGTCCACATAACATTTTCATAATTCATATTTTTAATAATATATAATATTGTAACCTTGTTCTGAACGTCTTGATGATGTGCCAACATAAAAATTGTACAAGCATTTGCTATTGCGGTTGTTTCTTGCCCTCCTAAGATTACCATAAATACATTTTTAAATTAGTCTACGTGTATATATACGTATACATATGTCTATATTTGTGCAAATTAATAATTTATGAATTGGTTTATTGTCAAAAAAATATTTGGTGAATAGTACTTGTACTTATGTTTGTATTACTTTCGCTTAGTCGAAGTAAGTAATGAAATTATTCTTGGTTATAAATTCAAAAACGTGTATAATACATATATTATTTACTATGAATAGTATACAATATACATAAATAGTTGTTTAAACAAAACGTTAAATATTTTAATAAGAATTTAACATTTTCAATAAGGCGAAATCGTGAAAGCAGTCATCTCCATCTTACACATGGTTAACTTAGAAATATTTAATTTGAAAGCTTATGATGTGAAATTTATACCGATCGGTTTTGTTTGTGATTTTATATTTACCAATCATAATTGTTATAAGCTCATCTCGTATTTGTTCATGGGACATATTATGGTAATTCCCTAGGAGAACTTCTATAAATGTTTTCGTTTTTCGGCTAACGTCTTCGCTGTCCCAAGTTGGTTTTTTTTCATCGTCGTTATTTTGCTTTAACTCGTTAATTTTTTTTTTAATTATGTCATCTGTGAATTCGTTTATGATTTTTTGACTTCGATCGTGTTGGTATTTAACAGTTGAAAGGCGGAATAATGTTTTGCTCAAGTACCACGGATGTGAGATTCTATATTCCCATGTCTGAAACATAAATGATCGATTATTTATAAATGTATTACAGTTTTAAAAATATGATTTCTTACTAGCATTGCCGTTTGTAAATTTTCGACGAATCGATGATGCCCGTAATATTGAGCGTTAAATTGTACACCTAATGCTGTTTTTCCTATCATTTCCATTGTGGCCATACTTATCGGTACGCTTATATCGCACTCGTTTGACACCGAATCACACTTATTTTGCAGAATTTTTTCAAGGACATTGGCTTCTTCGTGAAATATTGGGATAAACGATTTTATAATTGGAAAACTAAATCCTTCGGATACCATTTTTCTTAGATAAAAAAAACACACATACACACACACAAATTATGTACTTTTTTAATTTGAAATCGGTTCTAAACATACGTTATTTTTCATATGCGTGATTTATAATCTGAGTCAGAAATGTATGTAACGTTATGTTACCTGTTATACTTCCACTTTATAGTGTCGTTGATGGAAAATATTCCTTGGCCCATAATGGATTCACGCAGAATACTGTATTCTACCGATTTCTTATTCAACTTTGGATTTGTCATAACAAATTCTATATCTATTGGCCGCGTGATTACAATACATAATTTAGGACCTACCCACATTTTAAACAACGAATTCTCATACCTAAAATAAATTCTAAATGTTATAACAGCAAAAACTATTTAATTATTGAACTTTGAATGCAAACTAACAAGCAAATCTTGAGAGTCATATTTTTTGAAAATAATAGCAAATCATGATATCACTGCAGTATACATAATTTTATGTAGAATTATTCAAACTTAATTTTAATTTTTAAAATTTAAAAAACTCAGTATCGTTATATGCATTTGTACAAGATGTTATATTTATCAAGGGCGTATTTAAGGGAGGTGATATGGGTGTTAGAACACTCCCCATCGACCGTATTATACCAAATTACAAATTTACTGTATAATTTAAATAAATGTTGTATACAACTTGTAGATTTTACATATACCGTTTTAATAGAATAATTTTCATTTATATAATAATTTATATAAATACATGGTATCTATTGATGTAATACTGGAGGGGGGGCAGACTTACTATAAGTCTATTGCATTTTAAAATACACCCGTTAAATGAATCCTGGATACGATACTGATATTAATATTTATATTTTATATAATTAACGTTAATCGGCTTTTATTACAGTCTTGACAAAAGTAATTTGAAATAAAACAAAATATTAAGGATTTAATAAATGTATGTGTAACAAAATGAAAAATAGATGATAAGTATAACAAAGTACCAAATTGTTGGTAGTTATTAAATATTGATGTTTTTCATGTTAGAAGTGCTTTTTTCGGAAAATTGCTTCAGCTAATGTTATGTAAAAAAAATCTGTATTTCGGTTATTACCAGAGATGTGAATGCGAGTTGTTTCAATAAACGAGGAGCGTCGATGTTTCCACCAATTTATGCCTGAATAAAGAGACAAATAGAAATAATGCGACGTTCAGTAGTGGTTTAAATTTGAATAGTTCATTAACGATACTATAGTCATGAGAAGGATGCGTAGTATTGAAGCTGTACCCAGCGAAACTTAAGAAGCGATTTTGGACTTTATCAAGTATCTGAATGCTGCTCATTGTGTTAGGATACAATTATAGTTAGGCAAAAACAAATCAAAATTATGAATAAAAAAAAAAACGAATACCTAATTGATCATTTTGTCAACAAAGAAAAATATTTTATTTTAAATAGTTTAAATTGTGATTAAATTGATTATTTTAAATAAATTGTGAATAATATTCACAATATAATAATAATATAATGAATAAAGAATAGTTTTCTTTTTCAAATTTTAATAGATTAATTTTTTATTTGACTAATATCAAACCCTGGATACAAGTTAATAACACCATTCTCTAAAAGGGATCTTAAATGGGAGTTGTAGGGTATAGACAGGTCTTTTGGTGAGTTTGAAAAATGTTTTTTAATAAAGCGGATGGTTCATAACGCTTTACGAGTGATAATGTTAATATGAAAACGAAAGTTATGTGAAGGAATATAAAAATATAGATGGAGGCCGAGTATAACACAAATGACGCGAGATTGATAAATTATTTATGAATTTATATTATTCCAAAATAGCCCGATATGATAGTATACTATGCAAATAAGTCAGGACTTACGTTCGGTATACTTCTCGTACATTTTTTATGATTTTTTCCGGCCCATGAATTAATAACGGTATTGAACCAATTAATAAAGATCCACACGGACCTGGTATTGGAGCAGCCAATATTCGTTTTCTTCTGCCTTTGAATCTCAGTACCATAACTGTTACCACCAACACGGCTGATAGTATAGTAAACATGAACGACCACATATTTAATTTTTTTGATGTATATAAAGTCTTGAGATTCGGTTGAAAAATTTTGCCAAAAAGTAAATAGACACGCTTGTTTAACGTATTTCAAACTTTGCTCGGTGGCAATGGCTCGTACGTAGGCTTAAAATTTCGTCACTTTATAGAACTTATACCTGACCACGTGCCTTTAATATATTAGCGATTGAAAAGATTTCAGGATATTTAATAATCACCTAATCCGAACTAGAAGTTTGCGATAATTAGCGTGGAATAAATTGAATAAAGTAAAACTATACGGTTGGTTAGGATTACTGAGGAATACGGATTTGCGGTCAGAAACACGTTTACGAATGTTGTGTACACAAAACAATGCTTCCTTCGTAGCGATGACACATGCACGCCGTCTTGTATTAATTTACGTTTCGATGTCTCAGCTCATTTGCTTCGTTGACCTACTTCTACTTGGTCGTTTTTCACAAAAAATGATGAATGTTTCTTTTTTTTTCTCTCTCTTATATTTTTATATATTAACGGTTGACGGTTTTGAGACATGAGAATATAATACAAAGTTTGACACACATGTTCAACGTTCATACGCTCTGTTTTTACTGCGAATTGAAATTGTTAAAATGATATACTTACCTACCATGCTTGTATTACTTAAGTGAATGAGATTTTGGTTTTTACGTTGTTTTAAATAATAATAATAATAATAATAATAATAAATCTAATTGTGTAATTAGATTTGTAATATTGAAAACAAGAATATAAATTTGAATACAAGAAGAATTATTAAGAATATGTATTTTAAATTTAAATTCAAATATATTCCATTAGAGTTGTATCACGGGAGCACAACTGTAAGATGAATCTTAATTATTTACAGAACGTTCCAATTATGTTCTGCTATTTGAAAAGAAAGATAAGAAATACTCAAGTTCCAACTATGGTTTCAAAATTGTTCAGTATAATATCTTGATCATAATAGTTGTTTAAATGTAATTATTTTCTTTTACAGAAATTGGTTTTCATTTTGTCTAAGGTTCGTCTTCCAGTTGTCCATACGAAATTCAAATAGGATGAAACTTACAAATATTTACTCGTTTGAATATTGCATTAATTGAATAATAATTCGTAAAAAGTTAAGATTTAACACTGATAAAGCATAAGAGTTTTTTTTAATTTGTAACTGGCATTATTACGATTTATTGCTGTTAGAATGTGCCTGTAACATTATTGTACTATCGTCAGACAGTGCTATCTGTGAGTGAACATTTTGTGCACGTATTGCACAAAAGAAGTTCAAAGATATTCTTAGGATATTATGCCGCTATCTTTGAAAGAATAATCAGCGTATAGATAGCGACTCAGTTGGTACCAGTCGAACTGTACCTATATAAATGTAATATAGTGTATCATATATTATTAAGTATAATATTATACTGTATTGTGTATTATCATAAATAACCAAATATTAAAATCTATAATATTATTTTATTAAAAAATATTGAAGTAACAAATATAAAGTAAAATGATCTAAAAACTTAAGGTTGCTCCTAACGAGTAAAAATTGTTATTTATTTTAGAAGTAATTAATTTGAAATCATTTCAATATCAAGTTTGAGAAATACAACTATTTGTCTGATTGTGTTGAGATCATTTCATATGAACTGCAATTTAAGGGTTTTGGTTAAAGAATCTTACACCCAGTGGCGTATACAAGAGGGAAATAGGTGTCAGATTCCTCTCTAAGCCTTTTTTTAAACGTTGTAAAATAATTCTCTAAGTTTGAGGCCACAAAAAAAAAATGATTTGTTTGCAAATGATCCCTTTTTCCCAATGGCGTGCGTAGGGGGGATGATGGGGAATAATCCCCACATGGATTTTTTTTTTTAGTCTTAAAAATTTAGAAATGTATTTAAGAAATAGGATGGGGCACTCACGGTTAAATGGATTGGCGTTAATGAACATACATCGAGACATTCCATTATCTATAGAACAATTAATTGATGCCTTGATTGAATTTTTTTTTGTATAATAATAAAAAATAAAGTTTGAAAATAATACATTTTTATTTATGACATCCCTTCATACTAAATTCCTGCGCACGCCACTGCCCCTCCCTATACAAAAGTTATGTATACACTACTGCTTACGCCTACTGATAAATTATATGTTTTAAATGCTAATAGAATATTTGGTCGATGTTTATTAATTTTTTGGTAAAGGTGCAGTGGGATCGGTATTATTAAAATTCAACATTTACTTTAAACTTCTAAAAAACGCAAAAATTAATCAAAATATGAGTGATATGTAAAAATGTTTTACAATAGTATGTGCTACTGAAAATTATGATATTTATATTATGTGTTAATACTTAAATAGTACATTTCATCATTTTCTATAAATAATCGTTTTCGGTGTTCAAAAAATTTATTTGGTTGGTTTAGTTTCTTTTACTAATTTACTGGCAGTTTATCTCAAATCATTAATGCTCAGGGAAATTGTAATTTTTTTGGTATTAGACGGAAAAAAATGTAACAACGACTAACTTATATTTTGTTGTGTTATGTAGTTTTTTATTTTATTTTTATTTTTAATCAGATAATTTATACATATATTTAAGCATATAAATAATTAATTTAAACCGAACGAATCGTACTACAGAAAATTTACTTAATTATAATTATATAGGTATGCACATATGAGTTATATATATATATATATATTAGAGATAGTAATTTTTTTATTTATTAAAATTCTTTTATTAGAACTCAAATGCATTAGCAATGGTATCGGTTATATATCTATTATTTTCTCAAAATAATTTTTTTGATAAATTATAACACGAGATGATTTTTTTCAGCGTAAAAAGGTACGATTTTTTTTTATGTAGGTACATTTGTAAGCGATTTCCTGTTTACTAATTGTTAACTAATTTCATTGTGACGAGTAATGTTTATTGTTTATGACTGTCTAGTTTTATCTAAAAAAAAAAATATTAACATATTTAGCATATTATGAGTACAAGTTAAACTTAAGTCTACAGTAAAACATAAAAATATTTCTAGTAATTTTATTAAATTTTTTAATATAGTAATCTAATTATATATAATACAAAAAATATTTTATTTTTGTCCCTCGTAATTAAACGCAGAATCATTTTGGATGCCAAAGAGTTATAATTCACAATTAATAAAATATTAGAAATTATAATTGTTAGCAATGCTATAATTTGTGTTTCGACAGGACTAATAATAATATAATATAAATAAATAAAATATATTTTTATCGTATATTCATCAACATTATACAATATTAAAATAAATCTATAATTAATTTATAATCATTATAATGTTATAATTATTCATCGTATATTTTAATCAATATATTTTTGTCGTAAATCTTAAGGTGTTAAAACAGTGTTTATGCATATTATTTACAGGGAAGTGCATTGAACTTTTTGTGCTTAAATATAATCAATATGCTCTTGGAGTGATTTATTAGTAGTAGTAGACATATGAGATCTCAGACTATATTTCTCGTTAACTGTAAATTTATGAAGGTGAAATTGTAATTTAACGTCACTTAATGGTTAAAACAACTTGGGAAACGTAGATAACAAGCAAATTATATGTCAATTAGACACATCAGAACCATCTCTCGATTTATAGATAGGCACACAGATCTTCTAGGTTGAGGGTAGGTGTAGTATTAATAATAATCCACAAACTTCCAAATCATCTTTTGAAGATTATACAACTACGTATATAACCTAACTTTGTATGTGAACTAAGTGCCGTGCTTCCAAGTAATTTAGAAAGTTCTCCTATTACTTTAGACGTGCAGTGTGTAACGAACACGTTTACAATCCACCATTTATATACACGATGTCGCATTACCTTCGCATGGGTAACGACGTAATTACAATAATTACAGTCAATAGATGGCGTGGCGAATTACAATCACTTGCCACCGTAACGGATTTAATCAGTAAGAAAATTGATATCCCGTTGATTGTGAATCACACTTTGGATGTTAAATATTAAGTATAAATATCTAATTATTTAATGTAATATAATTATATATATGATATAGAAGAGACGTTAAATGATACTTATAGGTAAGACTAAGCGCACAGGATATGAGGTTTGGGATAATGATATACACCTAATGTGACTATTTACATTCCGTTTAGAATGGCACAATCTTGTTTTTCGTATCCTAATCCCATAGGTAAATATACTCACGAACATCTAACGAGCAAAGGAGAATAACGAGAATGCACCTTATGCAACGCCACAGTAATAGTGAAATACTTGTTTACTGAATGCCTTCTATCGAAGGATTTCCGAGATGAACCGTTGATCCATTACAATATTTGCGCATAACTTACACCCAACTAGATGACAACAATTTTTATTCAACTACTCAAAAAGATGTACCTATTTCAGATAATATGACACAAACCATTCTTCATGTTCACATTATTCATTTCAGATATATTTATTACTATTAATATTTTTGCAAAAACTTTTAAAATATAATAATTCAGAAGCGCTATTAACTTCGGCAGTTGAGGCGTATATTAAAAAAAAAAAATTATTTTTCATAGTTCATTCTTCTAATATTATAGTAGCAATTGTCGAACGTTTTCTTTACGTAAACGTTTTTTCTTATATATTTTTAAAAAAAATTGTTCGTTATTAAAATGATAAATATTTATATATTTTTTTATTCCATTTTATTAGAAAAATATATGGTCACCTTATACATCTTATGTATATCCATCGATCCTGGTAGGTAGAATAAGTAAGATTATCCCAATGAAATTATTGCAAACAAGGGAAGTCACCACAGTTAAGTGGGTCATCACAACCGTCACACAACAATGATAGTAGAGCGCGGATTTATATGCATTTGCATATTTATTCTGGTTGGTCGTATGATATGCTTAGTTAGCACAACATTTTTTTCATGACATAACGATTTAAAGAATCAAATTTATTTAAAGGATATTTTTGCATATTTCGACATTTACCCATTTATTTTAATTTCAAGGGCTTATTTTACGATTTGAATTGCATATTTTGTTATTTTCTTGTTTAATTATATTTTAAATTTGAATAAAATGTATTACAATTACATTTAAATAAAATACTTTTTACTACACTTTATGTAGGTAAGACTAATAGACATTTTAAAATAAGATAAAAAGAACACATTTCTGAAATAAAATTAAAAAAAAATTTCCCCTAATTCAAACTTTACTAAACATGTTTTAAAATAACCATAATATAAATTTTGATATCAATACAGACTTAAAAATATCAAATATCCAAATTATCGTTTACTTTAATTTTGTTTTTAAACACTTACACATACACAATGAAATAAAAAAATAAATAGTTTTAATAATATTTTAAATGTACAAATCAATTTGAAATCTTCTTTAATCTCTCTACTAACTCTCCTTTTAAACAAACTCACAACCAACTTACCATAATTGTCAGAAATTTCAATATCAAATCTCGTATCCAAATATTTTATTAAAATTACCATTATCTATATTTAATAATAGCTATATTGTACATAAAAAAACTGATATATTTAATAACTTAGTGAATATGAGCGTCATATCGTAAATTATAGAAATGTAATATACTATATTATATTAAAAAACTTGTAAGAGTATTCATTTGCTGAAACATTTTAAATAAATATATATATATATATATATATATAGATAAAAAAATAAATTATATTGTAAACACATAAGAGTAAAAAAAATGTAAAAACTTTTAAAATATTGTGTTAATAATTAAATAGATATTAAATATCAAATAGCATTGATTTCATTTAATTTCAAGTGTAGATAAAATCATACTATCTATGTGTACCATATCGCTTAATTTGTCTTTGTATGATAAATTGAAAAATTTGTATTTTGAATTTTTTTATTAAAAATATATAAAAAATTGAGTTTATTATTAATTATGAGACTGTTGAGAAGTTGTTATAAATATATGATTAATAATTATAATATTATGTAAATATGTACAATAAAAATTATATGAAAACTTGTAAAATTCTGCTTTATGAGAACTCTGTATGTGTGAAAAGTCATAATTTTACAATTATATAGGTGTTTATTTGAAATTTTTTTATTCTTATTCAAGATAGTTTTTAAAATAATTTTTAGAAAATTTAAAATTTGTATCACATTTTTTTTTTTTTATTAAGAGGAAATAACTTTATTTTGTGGTTACGAAGCATCTGGGAAAAGCTTTACATTTGTATTGGTATAATTTATAAGCTTCACACTTTTACCACCAGAGCTCGTTATTGTTCGGATTTCATAGATTTAATGTAATACTTTAACGGTTTTTATTGTTCTGAAAAGTGTAAAAAATGAGTTTTCGTTGCTTTCTGGTATTTATGGGATACAATACAATCGACTATGTGCGTCATAAGTAAATGTTCTTGTATACTTCACCACGGAAGTGTATTCTTATTAAGTATACGCAGAATTGTGTGTACTCCGTGCTGCGAATAAATATTAATATAATATCTGTTTAATTTTTTTTTTCATATTCAAAATAATCTACCTTCGGCAGCATCAGCCTATGGGATATTGTCCTTATGTAATATTATAGAAGTTTTAAATGATGTTGTATGATCCAGAAAAATAAGTGGAACGAAACTCAAGTTAAAAATAAGAACTGATTTACTTAAAACGAAATGGTTGTAATTTGATAAAATAAAAAAAAAAAAAAATCAATCAGTTTCGGTGCAGGGAAACTAGTTTTCCTGAAATAAGTACTTTCTAATATTTAACTGTATTATAACTAAACGATTTATCTGTATGTAACCATTTGGCGTGCAACCGGTAGTCCGGTGTCAATTCAAAACTAATATATGCATTCATCAATCGATACTAATTTAAACTAAAAATACTATTTTCCCGAAGTATTGGCATAGCGCCGATAATCGGCCGTCTCACAAAACACGATGAAAATAGTTGTTCAATGATTTGAGTAAAAACAATGATATCAATAGACATTCAGTTCTTTCAAGAATTTTACGCAGGTACGTTAGGATTTTCATTTATGCCTGCAGTACTTAAGGTCCTTGGTAATATTTTAACGTAACAACCATCGACAAATTTGAGCGTCGACAAGAACATTAATCTTAGGTGTTCCGGTGTCGGACATTTGCTTGACGGGGCAAACGTATTTCTTCGTATCAGTGTCGAAACGACTGTTTTGATTTGAAACATGGCGTACTTGATCCCAATACAATTTCTATACCCTGCGCTGAACGGTATAAAGGCATATGGATGTCGATTATGGCACGCGTCCGGCAAGAAGTTGTCCGGGTTAAACTTTTCCGGATCCGGGTAATACTGCGGGTTCGATTGCATAAAAAGTGGACTGATAAATATTGTTGAACCTTGAACATAACAATAGAAATGATACAGTAAATTAAAACACGTGAGGATGCGTTAAATATAGTGCACCGAGTAGCCCGGATATCTAAGTGCAAGTGTTTTCATTGAACAGTCTTAGTGTAAATCACTATGAACAAAAAATGTATCTGGTGTGAAATTCGGTGTAATAATATTTTACCTTATCAGTTTTTTAAAACAACTAATTTAGATATTGTTTTAAAATATAATAGATTTGTTAAGACAAATACAATACTGTAATGTTCTCGGTAACGGAAACAGGAATATGCGTTTAGGAAAAATGTTAAGAGCGTTAAATGATCTCATCATATGCTACTTGATAAAAAAATAATAAATCGGGGTAGTTTTAACTTATACCATTTGTGAGATTCGTGAAAATATTATTTTCTGATCCGATCGATCTTAATATTATCGATTTAAAGAAAAACCAGTATTTTATGATCCAAATATAAATATTTTTTTTTAAGGTAGGTTTTCCATAACTTTCGTGTTTTCGTGAAAAGTTAATTTAATATGATTTTACATGATACTATGACGCGAATACCATTCAACAATTATTTTATATTGATTTAAATTGTTACATATTGTTTAATTACCTGCTGGACATAAATAATTTCCAATTTTCATTTCTTCCTCCAAACTTCTGCCAAAAATCGGCAACGGTGGAAAAAGACGCAACGTCTCTTTGATAACTCGTTCGAGATATTCCATTTGTTGCAAATCTTCATAAGTAGGTGCTCTCGTATAATCCCCGACCGAAAATATCGACTGTAATTCCTCATACACCTATAATTTGTAAACACCACTATGATTAAAGTTAAAAAAAATTAGAATAAAAGAAGATAAACAAAATATTTTTGCCTTGTTTTGAACATCTTCGTGATGAGCCAACATGAAAATAACACAGGCATTTGTCATTGCAGTTGTTTCTTGTCCTCCTGAAAATTGCGTTAATACTTTTATGAGTGATCTACTACTCCCGTTCATCTATATATTTTCATATACTCGTAAATATAAATTTAAAACGTTAAATGTCTTAAGTCTAACAGAAGAAATTTTATGTTTATATTCAAAACTTTAAATGATTATACAATTTTAATTATACGATTAATTTAAGTAAGCGCATCAAAGTTTTTTAATCTTAAGTGGGAAATTCGCAACTATCAACCTTAATATATCTTCCACAATAAAACAATTTAAAGTAATAATAAAATAATAAATCAACGACATTTTCTTTTATGGTACTTATACATTTCTGTTTTTATTGAAGTTGAGAATTAAACTATTAATCGTGACAGTTAAATATAGTTAATAATCATACAAAAACGCGTTATTTTATACGTTACACAAAGTTTGACGGTACAGATAATGCAATTAAATTATAAATAATATGAAATCGGCATACAGCAAGTAGGTACAGATAATTATAATATCACCTTTACTTAACAGTTGTTCTTAAAAATACATGTAAATTCTGAAATAGAAATAATTAATAATGTAATATTTTTCAATATTGAAGAACATTAAAGGTTTATTTTGGTTGGAGAAAGTAACATTTTCTTTGAATGGATTACAAGAATTAACATTAAATGCATAATATAATAATTTAACCTATACCATTCATGTGTCCTGTATACTTACAAATAATGTCTTGATATCACATTAGTATAATATTATCTATATTATACATTTTTAAAGTATACAATCCCATATTGATTTGTTAACAAATTTTTATTCGTATTTACCTATCATAATCGTTGCAAGCTCATCTCGTATTTGTTTATGTGAAATTTCATGATAATTTCCTAGAAGAATTTCTATCAATGACTTTGTCTTTCGTGGGTAAATGTCTTCATCGTTGACAAATGATTTATTCTTGTCACTAGAATTATTCACGTTCAGTTCGTTGAGTTTTTGAGAAATTATTTCGTCAATGAATTCGTTTATGATTTTTTGGCTTTGGTCATGATTTTTTTTAACACTCGAGAACTGGAATAATGTATTGCTTAAGTACCACGGATGTGTTACTCGGTACTCCCATACCTAAAATGATCGGTATGTAAATTGAAAATAGTATGGTTTTAAGAAGTTCCTTACTGTCATGGTCGTTTGTAAGTTTTCAACAAATCTATGATGGCCGCCATTTTGAGCGTTGAATTTTACATCCAGAGCTGTTTTGCCTATCATTTCCATTGTAGCCATACTTATAGGCATGCTTATGTCGAATTCATTCGACGAATCGCATTTCGTTTGAAGTATATTGTTGAGAACAATAGTTTCTTCGTAAAATAATGGAATAAATGATTTTATAATAGAAAAACTAAATGCTCCGGATACTAATTTCCTAACATTTTTATAAAAAAAACTATATCATATGTACGCTCAATCCGATGTTTTCTGCACTAAAGTCAGTAGATATGAGTACCTGTTATGCTTCCATTTCTTAGTATCTTCGATGCTAAATATTCCTTGTCCCATAATAGATTCACGCAGAACCTTGTATTCCGCCGCTTTCTTAATCAACTTTGGATTGGTCAAAACGAATTCTATTTCTTCAGGCTGGGTGAGCACAATAAATAATATATTGAATAACCAAACTCTGAATAAAGACTTGTCATACCTAAAACAATTTTTAATTAGTTATGCCCACGATACTTTATCGACATTTCATAATCTATGAAAGGTCATGTACAGTTTCAAGTTATTGTCAACATTTTAATTTTTTTTTTGTAATTATGAGTCGAATATTTCGTTTTGTTCCAACGAGATACAATTCAATTTGTTTATTTGAATTTATTAATACGATATATTTTTGAGATAATCGATAGTCAAATATGTAGAAGTCAGGTACTTACATTCGGTATACTTGCATTCCACATTTCATAAGTTTTTCAGGTTCCTGTAGGAATAGCGGCAGCAAACCAATAATGGGCAACCCGTCCGGGCCGGGTATTTGGCTGGCTAATATTCTTCTTCGCCTGCCGTTAAATCTCAACACAATCGTCATCACTAGTACGGCCGACAATATGGTAAGAACCAACAACCACATGGTGCTCGATTCACGTAAATCGATAACCTGTGAATATAATACTTATTTTAATCGAATACACATGTCAAAGAACGTCATGTGAATTGTAGTTCATGTTTGCCCGGACATCTTCAATTACAGACGAGGACGTTGCAGGTATTAAGTGCACACTTAGTCTCGCCAGTGTAAGAACACAATAGTAATAACCTCGTCGTCGAAAAACTCATTTTCCGGACTAACAACCTATTCGGTAGTACTATCGACAGTAATAATTACTGTCGCAAATTAATTAATTGATTAATTCAATTATTGAAAATGTTGCCAAACGTCAAACAGATTATATTATTATATTCTTACAATCGCATGCGCGTACGTGCGTATAATTATAATAGTACCTATATCGGGGCGACCTATACCCGACAAAAGTTCCGTTTATAAGAATATAATATACTCCATGGCATTATAAATTGTGAAACACACAAATTTCATTTATTTTTCTAGCTAATATTTTGTTTAACGAGATATTTCCCTACATTTACAAATATACTTTATAATTACTTTTATTTATAATAATACTTCATAAATATAATAATAATAATTTCTAAATAAATAACCACGGTTATACGGTATTGAATTACTTAATAGTTATTTCGTTTCCGGCATGTTTTATTTACGCGATTATGTATACAATACTTAAATTCATTGCATTTGTAGGCATTACAACCATATATAATTTCGATGTTATGTAGTGAAAATGTAAATCGCTGTTATTATGCTAAATTCTAGGGCGTTTGTAAATTGCGCCCACATTAAGTAGGTAGTAATAATACTATAGTAAATTGCGCCCGGGATTTTTCGGAGTCTAAAATGGGTATAGTAAATTGCGCCCATAGTATCTACTATCTAATCGACCTTGAATTCATCGTTACCTGGTATTTTTAGAGCCAGAAAATGTTTGCAATTATTTTAACTATGAATTAATGCCTACAATGCCTGTAGGTAATCGACTTAAACAATTTTCTTGCTATGTTAAAACAAGTACATATATTTTATTCGCTGACTTTCCGCTGAATATTTGGGCATCAGCTTCTGCAACATTAACTCGGACAACTAATGCTTATGAATCTTTCCTGTACTAACTGTATTTGTATTTTATTATTAACATTTTTAATCTAACAAAAATATTAAAAAAACTATAGTTAATACCATAATATAAAAAAAAAAAAATGAATTTTCTTATTTTTATTAATAAATTTATTCATCTCAAGTAAACTAAAAAAAAACATTTTCGGAGGATAGTGATAGTTACTTCCTCGAGGTGTCCTCTGGGTAATGTTAAATGATTATCATAAAAATAATATTTCTATTGGGCGCAATTTACTGTACAGAAATTTGTACCTGAAAAATACAGAGCGCAATTTACTACACAAAACTTTATACCTGAAAAAATACCGGGCGCAATTTCCGTTTGTCCATATTCTACATATCTTTCCAAATTAATTTATCAAGGTTATTCTTTTCTCGACATAATATTTCTCCCCAACTAACTAAACATGCGTACTGTTTACTTAAATAATAAACTGAAAATCGTCGCTGTCAATAATGATCGACGTTTAGGTGTATACTTTTTCAGACTTCTAAATTAAACTGAGTGATTAATAATGAAGCCTGAAAGTAATAATGTACTTTATCTCTTTACTTGTTTAATTCTTAATTTTATAATACACAATCAGTGAATAATAAACTAATAATAATGTGTGATCTTAATAATAATTATCTAGTATCTAGTTTTAAAAACATTGGGTATACGATTTAAAAGCTAGTTTCGATGTAATGTTGAATTATTTAATAACATTGTAAATTTGAAACTAGAGTTTTGACTATGGTGTAACCAATATTTTAATTTAGTATTATTTGCTAGACATTTTAATTTTATAAATTAAATTATAAAATAATAATAATAATTAATCAACACTTTATTTTTTGTTATTTATAGATCTTAGGATTCTAAACACAGGTTTATTATTCATTATATCTTATTACATCACTGTTATTATAATGTATTAATCTCCTGTAATATCTCATTATGTTCATCTATCCATTATGTACTATTGCATAGTTACGATTGTTAATTTTGAAGTGTTAAATTATTTTCATACTAGTGAGTATTAAAATAATATTAGTATTGAATACAGATTTATATGAGCTTATGTTAAAAAAATAAGAACCATATAAATTGTTTTTATTTAAAATTTGAGATATTTAATTTATTTTATTTATTTTATGCATGACATTTTTTCGTTCAAATTTTATTTATCGAATTGTATTGTTAAAAATGTATATAGAAATTGTACATTTGGCATGCTGCAAAATGGCTTTTCTTAACTGGTTTATATTATCTATACAACTATTTGGTTATTATATATTATATATTTTGGAGAAGTATTGTTTATTTTGAACAGTGATTTAGTTGTAAATCGATAAATATGATAAACATACTAAGTTATTTTTAAAAAATGTTCCCAATTTAATATTTTTTAAATTTTCGTGAGTTAGTAATGTTTATAAATAAAAATAATAATATAAAGGTTATGTATCTAACATAAGTAATAATGACTACCAAATTTTTTTCAAAATTATTTGAAACTAAATTGATTATTGAAACAATATTATTGAAGGTCAGTCAATCGAAAGGTTTCATAATTAATATTTAAACGGCTTATTTAGGTAAGTCATTTTGGTTTAGTAATTTTGTGCTATCACTTTGTCAGTCATTAGTTTTGAAGTTTAATTTAATTTTAAATGTACCAATTAATGAAATCGAATTATTAAAAACCAAAAAACGTAGATAATTGAATTTCGTGTTTTTATGCATCAAGGAGAGATTCGATGATTTAATTTTAGCATTTATTTATTTAATTTTTTATGAACATTTCATTTTGAACAGTTTAATATTGAATATTAATTAAGTGTACATTTAACATTTTATGTATTATTCGGCGTCCAGTAATTTTGTAATAAAGGTTAAAGTTTTAGAAAACACAGTATATTAATATGAACATCAATTGGTGTAATATCAAGTTATAATTTTAGAGAAAGTTTTATGTGTTATTATGAACCAGTTTTATCGATATTCGTTTTTTAAAATAATATTTAAAAAAAAATAGTTTAAAATATTGGGGGAAAAAAACTTTTTCTCTTTTACGCATGGTAATATACAACCGATTCGTCGTGGTGTAAATTCTTTATTATGTTGTATCTAAATAATCAGCCGTATGCATGTGTGTGTGTGTGTGTGTGTGAAAATATAGAAAATATATGTAATACAATTATATTGTCAAGACTAGGCATGTCAAACACGTGGTTTATTTATTTGCGGTTCGCGCGCCTACCAATATTAATGAATCAAATAAAAAGTTAAAAGTAAAAAAAAAATTATAAAACATTAGTTTCATGACTTAACTATATTAAATTCTTAAAGAATGATTTATTTGGTAAACATTATTATGTCTTAACTTCTAATAAACCATAAAAGAATAAGTTTTATTGATGGTTTTATATGTGTAAATAATATAAAATATTTATTTTTTCGTTAAATATTTATGTGGCCCATTTGATACTTATTTGAGTTTGATATGCTTGGTCTGGTCTAGACGTAGGAAATTTGCCTAAATGAATTGGTTCGGCTCAAAGTGTTGCAGTTATTACGTATTGCCGGTTTCATCATTATATCACTATTTCGCTGTACGCATAATTTCCCGATAATTGTATTACTCATATATCAGTGTATGTTTAGGGTAGCGGTAAAAATAATATACATTTAAATTTGTGCTTATTGGTGATTAAGATATCTACTCATATTACGGTAAGAATAATAATGTTTTTTTTTTTTTTTTTACGTAATATTTCCCTGAACCATTGTTGAAACCATAACTAACGTAGTTACGTTTTAGATTCATAATGAAACGATAATGAAATTGGTTAATAGCTAACATAATTATTTTTATTTTGTATTTGTAAACACAATTCTGACCAGAAGGATTGATCCAATCATCATAATCATAAGAGGTTAAAGATAGAAAATATTGTCTTGTCAGTACCAGGAGAAGAGGTACAATTTACGAAATTCGCAATTGTTTTCTTAAAGATAACAAATAACTGACGTAAAGTTAAAAAAAATAAAACGGCAACATTTACGGCACGCCGTCCCGATTTTTTTGCTACAACTCACAAATGAATAACAGTAAAAATTTGAGAAGTTCACAAAATGCTTATATATCTATCCTTACAGAACTATTATTTATAGATTATATAATTTTTAAATAATTTCAATGATATCTTAACATTTCTTGTGTTATTTCAGTTTTTTCCCTAAAACAACGATAGCATTTTTTTTGGCACGACAAAAAGTTTTGAACAGTTTTTAAATACTTCCTCTTAATAACTTTAACTTTTTAATGAAAAAAAGTGAGGGTAAAATATAAAGTTTATTATTTATATATTAAAAATTGATAGTTACAAAAAATCATGGAAATCACAAGATTTTCATAATTTTAAATTAAATCAACAAAAAAGTCTCAAAAGTTTTAATTTTAATAATTAAGGTTTAAAAATTGGTTATAAGATTTTTCATAAGATTTGTTTTATAGACCTTTTTAATTTACAAATATTAACTGTATCGATTCAAAACATTTACTGAGTACTAATACATGCATTTTATAGACATTATGCATTCGGATCATGATAAAAAGAAAAAAAGAATGTCGTTTACATTTACCAAACTTACCCACATTTGAAGTTTTTTTTATTTTTCGAAAAAGTTAGAATGTTAAATATCGATTTATTTTATAAAAAAAATTGGTTACTACTATCAACCATCTTTATAATCATAAACTGATTCACCCGACCACTTTTACTAAGAATCGTTTTTTCGAAAGTAATTAATGGCACGGGTTTACAAGACCAATACAGCAATATAATTGACCCGTTCTCCCGACCGCGGAATGTCACCCTTAATCTTTTTCCCGTTTGTATATATTTAGTCCGGG